TTCTATTTTCCCACCTTTATCCTATAAGATACCTTTTTTAACTTTTTTTTTCATTCTATTTTCCCACCTTTATCCTATGAGATACCTTTTTTTAAACTTTTTTAACTTTTTTTCGACTTTTCCCCCACCCCCTAGACAAAGTCTACTCGGGGCAGCTTACATACATAATAAAACACAACAGTATACAAAGCATAATAAAATCCTTCAACCATACCCCCTTCCTATTTAAAACATGGCCCTTTGGGTTTGCTAGATAACTGTTCTCGTATCTCTTTCCACTTACTTCCCCAGTCATATTTCTACTGTCTTTCTATGAAAACCCATAAATCTGCCCATTGTTAAGCAATTCTCACTACATTTGTTCTCTTTGCTTCACTACCATCTACTTCCATTCCCAGTTCTCCTAAGATAAAAAAAAAAGTGGGAGATCTACAGTTCAGCTCAGAGACAAAAGATGTCTTGGGAAACTGCTCTTTGCCATTGTTCTAATGCTTTTACTCATTAATACCACACAATACAGCAGGTATTAATTCAGCACACACCCTCCCCTCCCCTCCAAGTTTATCTCCTGAAGCTCTTACACTGTAAATGCAAAAGGAAATCGTCCCAGGGATTACAGAAGTCATAAAGCAAATTCCTGTATTTAGACAGAAAAACAGGACTGGTAGTTCATGAGTAAAATGTACATTTATCACCATAGTTCCTGTGTATTGTGGAAATAGGTAAGTGACATGTATCTTGATAGCTTAACTCACAATTATTTTAGATGTTCCTTTATTTAGAGGGTAATCCTGTGGTCCCTGGAAGATACCCCGCCCCCTTGCAGGAAAACAGGGACCCCTATCTGGCCCCTTCCCTCCTGAGCTTCAGGAAGCAAATGAAAACCCGTCTCTTTGCCCAGGCCTTTGGAAACCTTACCCCTTCTTAATTTTATATATATAGTAATGTAATGTTTGCCCTATGGCAGTGATAGCGAACCAATGGCACGCGTGCCTCAGCTGGCACACAGAGCCCTCTCTGTGGGCACACGAGCCATAAGTCGCTATCAAGAAATATTTACCCATGCTCCGATCCCGGATTTTGGCACTCCTCTCTGCTGGTGCAGTGGTCCATCAGAGGCGTACAATGGCGGCCATTAGCAGTCTAGCCCAATGGGGGATTGGAGTATTTCTTTGTTAATACCACCCATAGGGGGAAAAACACTAGCATTTAACCCTTGTATTGCAGGAGCAGTTGTTTTTTTCTAAGCTAAAACCTCAGCAATTTATTGTCTAACACTTGGTTTATTGTCTAACACTTGATTTGGTTGTCTTAATTTTGCCATCTTGAGAGAAAAGGTTTTTAGAGTGGATTTTTATGTTTTGTACCTTTATTGTTTTAATTCTTTGTCAATTTATGTTACTTTTTTGTAGTCACCCAGGCTTGCTACTAGATGGGTGGAGTATAAATCCAATAAATAAACAAATAAATAAATAAATCTGGAAGCAGGAAGAAGCATCCATGGAAGACCTTTCTGCATGGCAGTAAGCTGTCTGTTTCGTTGCTATCCCTGCAGTGAGAATAACAGTGGAAAAGAGAAATCTCAGAGGGAAATCAGAGAAAAATCCAAACACCTCTACTTCCCACACCCAAAGCCACCTGAATATGCTCCTGGAAGAAGAGATGCTACCACTTGGAGTTGAACCCAATACAAAGGAAAATCAGGAAAAGGAATGATAGGACCAAAAAAGAAGGGAGGAGTTGGTCTCCCTTTTTTCTTGTATCTCATGACTTTGGCACGGCTTAGAAATTGGAAGTTATTACATTATGGATTCTTCCTCTTTTCTATGCCACTATGGGGTTGCTCTCTTTAATCTAGAGCAAAGCTTTGTCTTTCTGTTCACTATCTGTTCATGGATATCCCACCAGAACACCTGGCTATTAGAACACTTGCTCTTATTCTCATGATGAAGATTTTGCTGATCCACATCAATTTGTCAATTGGTCTGTCAGATAAGACAAAAGGCTCTCTTGTAGTTTCTCTCTTCACACACATCGCACGATCTATAGATGAAACATGAATAAGTGGATTTGGCTTAAGGAGTTTGGGCCAATCTCTAAATAATGAGCATAATCTACATAGAAAGATATTAAAATTAATGTTTCATTCTCAGTGTCAATTACAATGTTTAGACAGACAGGAAAATTTTGTAGAACCCCATGTAAACAAAATTATGCATTTCTGCCATATTCTCAAATAGATAACAATATACCTCAGTCACTCAGATATACTCTGCTCATTTTGTTTTGCACAATCAGTAACAACGAATTTACTCATCCTTAAAAGAGATAAGTTCACTTGGATAAAGGCATGCAGTTCGGTAATGACACATCAAAGGTTCAGGTTAAACTGGATTCAGGAAAGGAAACAACACTCATCTATAAAGCAAAGCAATTAATATATTTTAGATCAGTGGCCAATATCTTATTAGTACCATTTTGACACTGAGATTAAAGTCAGCTATTCTTCTTTCAGCCATCTTCCTATCAGGAGAAAAAGAGAGGGAAACAGATTCTCGAGTATGCTAATATGGCACTTTCTTCAGTTAAATAGCATTGAGAAACCGTGAATGACATGTATCACGAATGCTTCAATAAGACTAAGTTAAAAAGCTTTAGATGATTAAATAAAACTTCCCAACAATTAGAAATATTTAAATAAATCTAAAGAAACATCCTAAACATTTTACTTATACAAAAACTATCATTTAATATTGCAGGTCTTTGGAAAGCCAGTTCAACTATATTAACCATGGCAAGCCATAGACCAATTATATGAAAAAAGAAGTGACAGAACCTTAAAGTTTCTGTGTGTGGTAAAGTCAGAGGTAGATGCCTTTGATCTATAAGAAGCCAGATTCCCTAGCTGGGTTCTGAGGCTTCTGCATCCACAGTGGATCATAGTTCATTCCTGACCTGAGTGAGCTGGTGACAAACAAATCTGATGCCAACCCTGGAGTCTCACCACATGATCAGGCACAATTAAGTCTTCCATTAGAAATGTTATAGATGAGGTATTAATTACAGTTCTTGAAAATTCTAATTCTTTAATCAAGCTTGTCTTGATACTGAAAAGTTCAATGACCTCTGTATCAATACTGGAGCTTGTGCTGAATCATCGTTATCATTGTCATCACCATCATCATCATCTTAGAACTGTGGAGCTGGAAGGGACCCCATGGATCATTGAGTCCAGTCCCCTTTGTATGTGCAAAAAAAAAGGCACTGAAGTTTGGTTTTATCATGTTTTTAGTGTGTATACATGATGGGATGTGGTGGCATTGCAGGTTAAACCACAAAGCCTCCGGGCTGCAAGGTCGAAAGATCAACAGTTTGAATCCATGCGAAGGAGTGTGCTCCCGTCGCTTGTCCCAGCTCCTGCCAACCTAGCAGTTTGAAAGCATGTAAAAATGCGAGTAGATAAATAGATACCACCTCAGTCAGAAGGTAACAGTGTTCCATGTCTAGTCATGCTGGCCATGTGACCATGGTAACTGTCTATGGACAAAAGCTGGCTCTACGGCTTGGAACCAGGGATGAGCACTGCCCCATAGAGTTGGACACGACTGGACAATTTGTCAAAGGGAACCTTTACCTTTATCTTAGTGTGTATATATTCTGTCAATATATCCTTACTCATTTTCTTTATCCATGAAAATTTTACAGCTATTAAAGCAGTATAAGTACATACTCCCAAAAAGCTATTCTTCTCACTTGGACAATCTACAACAGTAGTTGCTTTTCTATCATAAATGCTGCCTTTTATGATTTAGGCGTCCAATGTTTTATTCTTCCCACAGGCAGCTGCAATCAGTCAAAAAGTATTAAATTCCAATCACTCCTAGCTTGACCTAGAAGTGAAAAGAGAGAGGGAGGGAGGGAGAGAGGGAGAGAGGTCCAAACACAGCCGGAAACTGGTTGTCTCTCTTGGGACACAGTTACCGAAATGCTGCATAATCTTATCAGATTAAATGTCACCTCTATAATATTGCCATTCTTGTCTGGAACAGCACACAATAATTTGCAATGTGATTTGTTCAAAGTATTCTTCTAAAACAATTTATGAGAGGTGAGTTTTTCTGATTCTGTAAATACAAGCATAAAAGAACAGAGATGAGATGTATTAATGTAATATGGAAAGGTGACTTTGCAAGGACACATTATTTCTAAAACAGGACAGAGAACTGGAACAAACATATTTAGGCATTTTCACCTAGATCAATATTTTGTGTTTCATTTTGATCACAAGAAATCAGCTCAATCTCCAACAGCATAAACAGAAGATGGTTTTGGAGTAAGATGTCTACTTCAAAAATCCAACCTAAAAATAAGTTGAGTGTGTAGTGTATATTAAGAAATTTAGCCCAACCTCCATGTGCCCCCAAAACCAAATCTTTGAAAATGGTATATAGCAAAATTGATTTAAAAAAAAAAGTTATTCCATCTAATTGGTACAAGACTGTAATTGGAACAGATATTTTTTTATCTAGTAAAAGTTGGACTTTTCCATTTCATACTAATACGGAATAGGACTTGGAATAGTTTGGTGAAAATGCATACGAATGAATCTAAAACACTGATTTCCCATCCTAAACCTTTTAAAGCATTTTATCTTTCATTTAGCCCATTTTTGCCTGGTCCAGCAGTAGTTCCAGACCTTGCACTTCTCTATTTAAGAACAGCACCTAGGAAATAAGGGTGCTTATCTTTACAGAGAGTTAAACATAAATATGAAAGTCTGCATCACTGACCTCCAAGCATAATCCCTGTTGCATAATAAACTGTTTAATGACAATTTAGTGAACAACTTTAGCACTGATTCCTGATTTAATTGAACACTAGCAGCTTCTTATTCTTTCTCTTATTCTATTTCTTAAGTATTTTGAGTGGGACATTTGACTGTAAGTTGATGACATAGAAGTTGTTTTTTGTTCCAATAAGGCTTGAAAAACACAAACCAACCAATCAACAATCACATGAGAGGAAATAAACGTAAGAAACACATACAAGCACATGCAAACACAGCTTTACTTCTTGTCAAGTACAATTTTAGCACCTTGCTTTCCTTCAGGAAATGGGTACTTGGAGATTCTCTCAAACATTGTTACATCTCCTCCTCTTTTTTCTTGTGCTGTTCTGACAAATGAGCAGAGAACATTTCCAAGTATACATGATCAATTGGATCGTAGTTCCATCATCACAGGTGCCAATGGATATCACATGACCCTCTATCAAGGGCCTAAAGTGCAAAATCATCACAATATTGTAGGTTGTGTGACTCTATTGTTTCAGTGTCTTGATCTTGTGCCCAGAATTTTTTGTCTGCCCGGCCTTTCCTTTGTAGTCCTGGGCAGGGGTAACAGGGTGTTGCGGTTTGTAGTCATTGTATCCATTTACAAAGACACACTGATAGTAGCGGACAGCAGCTGGAAGGAAAGAAAGGAAATGAACAATAACATAGTAATTTGCAGTCACAGTTGCATTACTTCAGCAGCCATTAGAGGACATGATGAATCCACCAAAGTGTAAACTGCCATTGTCATTTCATTTACATACTGTACTATCTATCTATCGATCGATCGATCGATTGGTCTGTCTGTCTGTCTGTCTGTCTGTCTGTCTGTCTGTCTGTCTGTCTGTCTGTCTATCTATCTATCTATCTATCTATCTATCTATCTATCTATCTAACTACAGTCATGGCCAAAAATATTGGCACTCTCGCAGTTCTGTCAGAAAATGCAACCCTTCTCTCAGAAAATCGTTGCAGTTGCAAATGTTTTGAACTCACATGTTCATTTCTTTGGTTTGCATTGGAAGAACACACACACACACACAAAAAAACAGAGAAGAAAAGTCAAATCTGATACAATCCCACACAGAAACCAACAAATACACTGGCCAAAATTATTGGCACCCTGTCTAAATTGTAAGAAATAATTCCTTTTCAACCATGTGTTGGTCCTTTAATTTGTATTTAGACACACCTGTTGCAAGTAAGAGGTGTGGCCAATATAGCAATCACACTTGCAACCAGTTAAGATGGAGAAAAGTTGACTCAACCTTTGTGTTGTGTGTGAAACTGAGCATGGAGAAAGGAATGAAGTGTAAAGAGTTGTCTGGATTTGTGAGAAAAAATTGTGGAAAAACCTCAACAATCTCAAGGCTACAAGTCAATCTCCAGAGATCTTAATGTTCCTGTGTCCACTGTGTGCAATGTCATCAAGAGTTTTACAGCCCATGGCACTGTAGCTAACCTCCCTGGATGTGGATAGAAGAGCAAAATTACTGAAAAATTACAATGAAGGGTTGTTCAAATGGTGGATACAGAACCCAGATTAACTTCCCAACAAATTCAAGCTGATCTGCAGACACAGGGTAC